TCAAGACTAATTGTTTAAAGCTATCTAATGATAATGCCCCTACTGTATACTTGGTGACATCGAGTTCCACTCTGCAATAGTTCTAGGAAAGAATGAATTTTTGAACACTCAATCCTTGGTTGATACATAACTCTGATACATCAAGGCATGACTATTTCTTGTTCTCTTCTGGACTGGTATTAGGTACTTAGTAGTTGGGAGTGGGACGTCCACCAATAGAGAGTTTGGCATATGTGTAATGCTACTCTTCAAGCAGAAGTTGATGGGGAAGTCACTCTGTCTGGAGAGTTGTGTAATGCCATTCTGTTGTCCGTGGCTTTACTGGGCCCCTCCCCGGGCCGTGTCAAGCTGGTGTGTTCTGCCGAAAGGCGGTTATACCGGCTATACAGATTCAGATACAGAAACGATGTGTGACTATGCCACCAAAGGCTTAGATGGACACTTCTCTATCCAACTACTGAAAGGCCCTGAAACGCTTTGGATGACCCATGCTATGATTATTTTCTTTGCTTGAAATCTCCCATACACCCTTCATCACACTTTGGCTCACCTTACTTATCCCCTGCGACCCCAGACTGACACTTAACTTGGACGGTTGCACTTTCATAGTGCTTAAGCGACTCACGGAATTATTAAAGTGACGTTTCATGATATTAAAGTGGCCTTGTCGCCATCCGTTTTGTAACGCCTTACACTAGTTACAGGCTGGTTCGGGGTCCCTTGCACTTGGGGAGTTCCGTTACAAAAGGAATAGCATCCATATTAAATCTCCAATCAGATCATACCGTGGCAATGGCAGTATCCATTATCTTGGGCCAGCACCGTATGATCTGCTTGGAGATCCAGGCTACAAGGGCTGATGAAAACCGCAGAGGGACTCAGAACTAGGACAGATGAAACCATGCGTATATCTCTCAGCGGGTAGCTTCCTCATGCTATGGTCACATCCCAAACCGTTTTCCGGTCGAGCGGTTCTCGGGAACGAGAAGTATGTTATGAAAGACGACAAGACAGAGTGTTGAAAACTATGCATATTTTGTGCGTATTTTTGTGATGCGCGTTTTTATGTTTCGTTTATGCAGCACTCCATGTTAAAAACCATGTTTTAACATGGCTAAAAGTCAATGCAACACTCTGCGTCTGAGCTTGGGCGGGGTCGGAATTTTGGTCAAGGCTAGGCAAGCCTTGGCCATACAAGACCACTACCGCCCCTCCTACCCCCCCACTGTCCCCAAGTTCGTAGTTTCCCTGTCCCTTCCCCAGTGGGAGGGCGCGACTCTGTGGGACGCCATAGACCGGGTGGATCGAGAGAGCAGTTACAGCTACAGCTATCTAGAATAGGATCCGGCTTGATGTGGGCGTCTTTTCCCAGTTTTATCACATCTAAATTCTTCTTTTTTTTGTCAGATTTTCTTCCCGCTCTGTAAACTAAGCTGGTAGGAATTTTAGCCACCCTAGGATCTGCTAAAGGATTAAATTCACTTGTCAAAACACCACTTATCCCTGCCAGGGCTAGACCCGGTTCTCACACGGACAAAATGATCGACTGTGTTTAAGATCATGCTAGAGTGAGTCAGAAGTGACTTTATAGAGAATCCGGAGTTTCGCAATCAGCCTGTTCTTGGCTAAGACATAGATAAACACATCACCGTGGATTTTACCTTACATAAGGGAGGAATTTTACGGTAAAACCTTCATTCCAGCATGACCTCTGAACGCCCATAAGACTGACGACGGTGATTAAGGTATGTCATAATTGTAATTTGTATGAAAATAAGGTGAGATGAATGGTGGACGGCCCCGACTCGAGCTCTAATACAAACTGTGTCTGCAAATAGAACGGTACCACCCAAGAGCTCAAATACAACAGTATACAGGTATATAGTACATGTAATCTCCAAGCAGATTCGGAGGGGCAAGGGGACTTTATGTTGGCCGCATGTATCCATTGGCCGCCTGGAGTATATCCAATGTTCGTCCCGTGGGGCAAACGTTGTATATATTTCAGGCGGCCAACGGACACATGCGGCCAACATTAAGTCCCCTTGCCCCTTCGAATCCGCTTGGAGATTAAGTACATGAAGATGACAAACAATTCAGGCTGTAGTTGAGTTGACCAGCACGCTGGCTGTAGGGAGAAAACAGTGTTTTATGTACTCTCCTACTCTGGGGTGACCAGTGGTCACCACATGGTTTCAGTTGGGAAGCGGGTCGTGACTGGTGACATGCGATAACTGCCGCGGTATGGGCCTTTGCGGCTATAAAAAATTGGGCAACGAGTGTAGTTATCGGATTACCAATTACCATGGCTAAACTGTGGTTTTCTGTGGTCTGACTCTCCTGGTCAAATTCTACTCTCCGTAGAATGGTCTGGTAGAGGTAATCGTTAGCCTCTGCCAGGCTTCAGCTAGCGGCTAGAGGCGAGGGTAGAAATCGGCCAAATAGTCCTTGAATATATGTAGACTTTCTACCTCCATGAATAGGCAGATGTTATGCCGCTTCCCGATGCCTGGTGGTAGATAGTCTATAAAATTATAAGGTCTATAAAATGTGCCACGGGCCGGGGTGGGACTAATCTCGGATAATTGACACTTTAATTAGCTGACAATCATCTGATCTCATCTGTTATTAAATGAGCGCTGTACTTAGCGAGTGCCATAAAGAAAAAAAGGGGAACCAGAAAGCGTAACAAAGTGTTACTGTGTTAGAGTCCGTGCTTCGGGATTTAATAGGTGGTTTACAATTTCATTCTTCTACTTAGTTCCTCTTCAAATATGTATGGAAAAACAACATAATTCGGCATGGTTGAAAAGAAATGTAATATGGATCCCACAGGCATCCGGTAGTATCTGTTACAAATGTCGCGCCGCGTGCTGGTGTGTTATACGCCGGAGGGCGGTTAAAGTGCATAAATCATCCCCTCGCGTATACGACTGTGTACAAATGAGCTCAGTGTCAGAAGTCTTTAGATCACCATCCACTAATGGAGATCCCAATATTTTAAATAAAACAAACAAACATGGTTGGAGAGTAAGGCTCCCTCAATCCAGACCATTCCAGGGTGTTCTCACTTCTGCGGAAGAATCCCTCCCTTGGCCGACCGGGAGTAATTCAGTCATGTTCTAATTCGCTCTGTTGCCTATATAATGGTGGGCATTGCCTAAATTTAGTCTTCTGCCGAACCTAGTCGACTAATTTAACGGCCAAATTTTGTATCTGTATAGCCGGTTTAACCGCCCTTCAAGCGTAACACCCCAGCTAATTCAAAGGATGGTTTATCACAGAGAACGAAACATCGCATAGTTCAGCCAGAAGACAAAGATCAGACTGCCTGTAACTCCCCTTACCGTGGATGTCCATCCCTATCTCATGTCAACCAAATTGCGCCGAAAATTGCTTACGCAAAGGTTTTCCCTCCGTGTACACCGGCCCCAATTTTCGTACACAATTTCGGTACGTTACCTCTAGGGCAGGCGTACGATCAGCGGCTCGCCCAGCGGGCCCGGGAGTCTCCGTGCCTCCCAGTCTCATGTAAAACAGGAATGAACTCCTTTCTTGTTGCAAATTCCAGTCTTTTCCCGCGTTTGTACCAGCCACGCAGTGTTCACTTGTTCAATTCTCCGTGTTTCATTCGTTTTGCTCTCCCTTTGATTCTTTGTTTCAATTGTTTAGAGTTAGTGAGCTTTTTGCTGTTCGCTGGGCATGTCGGAAGGGCACAACAGCGCGAATTGGAGTATGGAGTTACGACAGGATCAAAAGCAAAATGGAGACTGTTAGAAAAAAGGAAGTATACGATGACATTGCGTGAGATATGGAGGCTACAACTAAACTACAAAACTGGTCAAGTACGTCCATAGCGGCAGGTTATTTGAGGTCACGATAGTGTGGGGCGCAGCGGGAGTTCTCTGGCCCTCCCTGTCGATGTATTGACAGAAACGAACGTACGCTCGGATTTTGCCTGTGTGTAAACCGGGTCCAAGTCCAAGTACTGACCAGGCTAGTTCAGTGTATCAGCCTAGTGCCGAGGTAAGATTTTGCGCTCCAAAAAATTAATAGTGGGTAGACTGTTCTCTACAAGCAGAGGTTGTGGGGGAATGACCGTTAGTTTTTATATATGGCCCCTTTTTTTCGCTACCCCCACCACCTTGGGTCACGCATGGACCCTCGCTGGCTCATTGGATACTGCCTGGCCATTTTGATACTCTTCTTTTGCCGACCCTACGATCTGCTTGGAGATTAGGTAGACTGTGTCAGATAAAAAAGGAGAGGGAGAGGAATTTTTGGAGGAAATGTTATAAATTTTATTTGATTATATAAGGACGTCATGCTTCTTAGTTGTTACTAATCATATGATGCAATTTTCATTAGTTTTTCGTCCAGGGGTCGACAGTGGGTAAGAAGAGGAAGCAAAGTGGGAACAGAGGCCGTGGACGTCGCTTATGCGGTTCCCGTGCAGGTGGACGAGGGCGAGGTCGTATCTAGATTTAAACTGCACCACGCTATTGTTAAGTTGAAGTTTCATACATTTAATATTGACCACAGATGTATTGAGTAGTCTTCGCATTGTGTTATTCAGTACACATGTTCAAATACCTATTCTACCTATACCAGATTTAAAAATTACAGCTAACATGTCATGACGCTTTGTTGTATAAACATTGTAAACATGTGACAAATTGAAATAATCTGTCTGGAGTTTATTGACATGTTGCAATACCTATGCCTGGTTTTTATATCTTATACTGTATCTTGCCATAGCCATGTAAGAGTTGAAGGTAATCGTTGTATCCATTTTAAAGGCGTTGTTAGGGGCTTTGACCTCAGTAATGTACAGTGTTCAGTGTTAAAACAGTAACTTTATTGTGGTATGATGACATATAATATTTGTACAGCAGTCAAACGCTCAGTGTGTGCGTCACATAACTGAATGGTATAACATAGCTCACCTTGTCCTTCACCAAAGATGGCTCCTCTGGTCTGGGGAAAAGGCCCAACGTGGCAGACTTTTCATAAACTTCCCTTTGTGTTGAACTTGGCAGCAGAATTCTTCTCGTGTTGAACTTCCCTCGTGGCAGACATCGCGACAAAGTCCCCTTCCTGGCGGACTCGGCGAGGGAAGTTCCCTCTAGGCGGACTTGACAGTACGCGCGTGTCGGCCTTAGTCGGCCTGCACATACTTCGCGCTGGAACACCGCTGGTGTCGGCCTGGTCGACGGAACTTCCCTCGTGTGTGACTTGGCAAGGAACACCGCTGATGCCGGATTTAACGCAAGAACACCGTTCGTGCCGGCCTGGTAGCGGGAACTTCCCTCAGTCGGACATCACGCAATAAGCACCGTTCGTGTCGAGAGGGAACTTCCCTCGTGTGCGACTTGGCAAGGCACACCGTTAGTGACGGACTTCGTGCATTAAGACAATGCGAGGGAACTTCCCTCGTGTGTGACTTGTCAAGGGACGCCGCTAGTGACGGACTTCGTGCATTAAGACAATGCGAGGGAACTTCCCTCGTGTGTGACTTGGCAAGGGACGCCGCTAGTGACGGACTTCGTGCATGAACATCATGCGAGGGAACTTCCCTCGTGTGTGACTTGGCAAGGGACACCGCTAGTGACGGACTCCGGACTTCGTGGATGAACACCATGCGAGGGAACTTCCCTCGTGTGTGACTTGGCAAGGGACGCCGCTAGTGACGGACCTCGTGCATGAACACCGTTCGTCTCGGCCTGGCCGAGGGAAGTTCCCTCTTGGTCGGCTAAAACAGAAACTCTCCGTTGTGCCACGGCGGTCTGTCACTACGGCATTCTTTCCCATTGCTATGCGCGTTCGAAAAGGTATCGGATTACAAGACGCTATTTTGGCCTGTTTTGGACTACCCGTAAAATATTTGAAAATACACAAATAATATTTAGGGGTAAATTTCGTCAAATTAAAATGAAATTATCGTCTTAACATCCTTTAAATGTTAGCTTTTTATGTTAAATCAATGATTTTTTAAAATTTCGCTCAGAAAGACGATTATTTTCGGGTTTCCGACCACACGTCATATCACGTTTTTAGGCAAACATCGTTCAAACCTGGCTACGTATATTACCCCAGATCCCCGATTTTTATATTTTTCGCAGACTAGGAATAAGACAAAAAATCGTGTTTTAGGGATTTTTTAATTTCTGATTTTAAGTCTAGTTTTTGTCGACATACTGGTGAAAAAATGACATTTTTTGACATTTTTCTCACTAAATTACCCATAATTCAAAATTGAGGCCATTTTTCAAAAATCCCTAAAACACGATTTTCGGGACAACCGTTACAGTCATTTTGAGCCGTAAATGGGGTATGTTTGACTGTCCATGTTTCCAGGTTTGAACGAGTTTTGGAGACATGTCATATCGCCAGAAAGTGTGCATTATGTTATTCATACTGGCGTAAAGAATCATTACAGTATTCAAGGTCACACACGGATACGACAGTAGCTTCGCTACATGTTACATGTCCACCAAAAATAATTGCGGACATGTACTGTCCAGGAAACTGTTTGTATCTATAGAAAAGTGTTGTTTTTTATCTGTTGCAATGCACGGAGGCAGAAAGGCTTGTTTTGCCGGTTTATAGTAAATGACCGCAGGTGACCCCGAAATAGAACGCGGGTTCGATTCGAATTCCCCAGATAGAACACGATCGAACACAGTTCGGGTTCTATGACATGTGGGAACTTTGCAGCCCAGATTTTACCACCGTGTGCCCGGTTAAAGGAGGGAATTTCCCTCCTATGGTGGCTGGATAAAACAGAAAATATAACTTGTACCTGGCCACACGAGGGAATTTCCCTCGCTAACCCCAGAAATCTAAGCCACTATGATGGTCTTTCTGAACTTCGTAATGTCTTTAATTTTTGTTATTGCAGTTTGAAAAGCTTCACCTTCAAAATTTTGTTGTCTTAAGATTTCAAAATTCAAGACGAAAAAAGGGGAATAAATTGGATTTTCCCCTTTAGATTTGGATTGTGTTCTTTATAACTGCCCTAAAGTAACTTGAATCAAATTTCATCAAATATTGGAAGAAATATGCCTCAATTAAAAATATACAGAATTTTCAGTTAATAATCTTCTCTGAATAAAACATTTAAGTATTATAGGGACCCCGCGTTAACTATGCAAAGATGAGGGGGCATTTGGGGCCGGCTCTAAAACCCGAAACGTTCAGTGGTAATGTCCGTAATGTAACCAGTAGTAGATTTTGAATTGTCTTTATATGTTGTTTATCTGGACGCCTTGAATACATTCATCAACTTGATATGAAAAATTATGTTCACTTTTTGTGTTTTTCTTTCCGTTCGGCCACGCCGACTTAATTTTATGGATGACATCCTTTAAAGACTAGTGCGCGCGGGAGACTAAAAAGAATCCTGCCAAAATAAAAATGCTACTAAACCACAGGAATACAAAGATGGTATTGTGAATTTTTGGCAGTACATAACGGCGTATACGAAAAGCCGGCAAATGTTGCCTTTATGCGGAATTTATGAATCGGTACTGTACGTACTATGTAGTAAGTTCTATCGTACTATGTAGTCAGGCCTAGATCCACTCCAGAGCCTCGGTGGACTTGATCTTTTTTTTTTTTTGAGAACAGGCGAAAATTAATGCGCGCTGATGTCATCCATAAAATTAACTCGGTGTGGCCTAACTACAACAAAAGCATTTCACGAGATACAGGTTACATCATTAAAGTCTTAGAAAATGAATCCATGATGATGATGATGTTGAACGAGCTTCACTGCGTCTGGTGGGACCACGTCTGCAGGAGGCCGAGGTACGCGGGGGGAGGGGGGCACCAGCAAGCAGGTCGTTTATGGTAGGGCACAGCACAGTAATAGGGCTTTCCTATGTTAATATATGGGAATGATGTCAAAACAACGTGGTCAAAATTCATATACCTGAGTTTTAGACCTTGAAGAACATACATTGGCAGGGTAGGCCAACCTCTCAAGTCTCCATTCCCAAAAAATGAAAAAAAATTCCTACGCACCTAAACCATGTGAGAATTCTAGCCGAACATTGAAAAGTGACCCCTGACCTCTCTGGACAGCTGATGACCGCATGTAAACCTATATCTTCTTCAGCCAGCCAGACAACACATGCATGGCTGCAAGTCTGTTTTTTTCACCAAAATGAAAATACTACGACCCTTACCTATAACATCCAAGTCCAAAACAACAACATTTCCCTAGAAAAAGGCTTCTTTACACTCTACATTACATTGCCATCTCTATATACTAAAACTGGGCCCTCTGCGCCTGCGCTATTACTGACCTTTGCCCGGTAGCAGAACACAGTATTAATGGGCGACCCCCGGGTCTGTGACGCGGGTATAGAAAGTAGTGCAGCGAATATTCTTGAAGGCTGGGTAGAAAGCCTGATAAGAGCGTCAGCCAGACGTAAAATTGACGCTGTGTAGTCTAGGAATGTATCGGGTTTGAGACTGTATGATTTGAATTGTGAAGGTTTTGCAGTTCGTGTATAAATGCGCCGTATTGCGCAACTGGCTTTCCGGGTGAGTCGGCTGAAGTTCAGGTCACGTGGGTGATGTCAAAGTGTACGTTACGAGCAGATACGCCGACAGGATTTTTTGGTTTCTAGATATTTTGTAGTTTGTACCTTCTTCTGAAACATATTCGATTTTCGTATTTGTGAAGTGCACCCTGCTATTATAATAATAATAATTCTTACCGCGTCGAAGTAAGTCATCTTGGGGTCCTTAACTATAGAAATCCCCATAGGGCGAAAACTGTGTTCTGCTACCTTATCCCTGACATTGATACGACGCCACCGTGCGTCTTTTTATCAAACTGTAAAGATTTCTACTTTAACCGATTTGTTCTTGAATATGGTTTTCAGGAACGTTACTTTATTTGGCAGGAGAAGAAGAATAAAAAGAAACAAAAAAGCCGCTAGAAAGCCTATTATTGAACTCGATCTTCGCCTGTTATGTCCCTTTCCAAAACAACAATTAACAACCGGTCGCATTTTTTTTTCAAATTAATTATAGAGAATTTGACAGAAAAAGGCCTCGTGACAGGTCAATTTTATATCACGACTTTGAACTGAAGGAGAAAGGTAATACTGTTTATGCTGGTAGCATGGTGACGGAACTGGAGTTGAACAATATAAGCGCGAGGGGG